ATAGAAAGCATTTGGTTTATGGCACCTTTAGCTTTTTATGTAATATTTTATATCATTAGAACAATAAAATACCCATGATAAATTTATTCAAAATTATATTAGTGCATTTTAGGGTATATTTATTTGCTAGAGTTTTACAGGACATGCAGCCCTTGACAGCAAACAAAGCCGTTTCAAAAATGGCAGCAGTATTATCGTGTGCCAAAGTTGTTCTCTTGATGTGTGTGTCATCAAATAAGTAGTGAAATATTTTTCACTAATGATGCAGTAATTGAAGGTACAGATGAAATGGTTTCATATAGTGAGACAGTCCTGTTTCTCTAACACCTGGATGCTTGAAGTTATTCATTAAGTTCATTCCTCTTACTGAAATAAGTATTTAACAGTCCAGTTTTGTACATCTAATTTACTGCTAGTGGAGATATGTGCATCTTGGTGTTTCATGTTTATGGGCTTTCTATCACGACATCCTTTTTCTAAAGATGATGAGAACCCTTCAAGTTTACTCATGTGCATGCATTTGTGTGCACATTTCCCCTGTGCTACTGCCTGTGGTTTTGCTGCTTAATGCTTATCTGCTAAGATTTGTTTTATCCTATCTTAGATCTTCATTTAGGGATGTATAGGTGATGGAAAGCACTCTTGAAGAACCATTTTTTCTGAATTTGCATTTGTCCTCTACTACCTCTAAACCAGGATTTCAATATCTAAAATAATGCATTTTGGTCAGATATCTGCTGGATTTTATTCTTGTTTGTACAGTGTACAAGCAAGTGATCAGTGCAACTTGTTAGATTGCTTATTGTTAATCAGTCTGTCTTTTAAGAATTTTTCTGGTGCATCTGTTGTGCTGATTCACTGTTTCTTTCACTTAAAACTTCCCTTATGAAAAAATGAATCAAGTGGACTTGTCCAACAGCCGTGCCCTGCCCTGTGATATCACTGCCTGTTCTCAGTTACCGGGCTTGGTCTCCAATTATGCTTTGTAATTGTAGCATCTCTGTATTGGTCAGGCCTCATGAAGGCAACAGGAAGCTTTAGATTGTGCTTTTCCACCTCAGAGTTACATCGAAAGCTGACATGATGCTGTTCATAGTTAATTCTTCATCTCAGTTTAATTCTGTTACATTTGTCCACCTGTATAACAAAGTAAAATAAATCCTGAGGTTAAAATACCCACTTCTTTATGATATGGCAGTGAAGAGGTAATGGGAGGAAAGGGGATGAAAGAAGAGTTATAGCAGTATGTGTGGCTTTCTTCAATTTTTTTTAAAGCCTTTCTCAATTATTTGCATAATAACAATATGGAAAATGTAATGGCTTTAAAAGCCTCTTGATGGAGATAAACACAAAATCCAATATTCTTATTTTTTTTTGTCTGGGATAAAGTCCAGGTTAACTTTCATCAGTAATATGTCCTTGAGGATGAGACTGAATAAGAGCAATGAAGGCACTGAAAATTTTTGGTTATTGTTTAAAACTAGCTGAGAAGTTCAGTACAGTGGAGGGTTGTATGGCAGACAAATGAAAGCTGCAAAAAAAAAGAGTTTGTTATATTGCACTCTTCTTGAAAAATAACTTTGGAACAAAGATGCACTTGGATTTTGTGTACAGTGGGTGCACACCTTGGGAAGATAGCAGTGGCTGGTTCCATGGAGAGCCTGGCACACACCTTCACTATTCCACTGGAGAGTGCAACATTACATCAGACTGGAATCATACAAAACTGTGGCTGGAGGTGATGTTGAGAAATCCCTTAATCCTGGCTTTAGCACCGACTTGGGTGGAAGAATTTGTTCAGAGATTGGTTTGTTGCTTTATACCTTAAAACCTGAAGATGCCTAATCACTAGGATTTTATGGTAGTGGCCTTAATTTAATGTGATTCAGAACAATATGACCCCTGTAAGGCGGGCAGAGCTGAAGGGGGCGTGTAGCAGCTCTTAAACCATCACAGTTTGCAACATTAATCCATCACTAAGTTCAGATTGCTTTGATGTGCTGGATTGCAAACTGTGGCAATTCAGGAGTTGCTACATTCAACCATCCATGCAGCAGGCTCTGGGAGAAATGTGCTCCGAGTGTCTGTCATGAAAATCAATGACAGAGGTACAGTCTAGCTTTCATCTCCTGGGCTACAAACTGTACACAGAATTTGCATTTTAAATGAAATTATTTTTTGTACTAAGGAGGACCAACACTGAATGCTTCAGAGGCACAAAGAGGAGGTCCAAGAGCTTAGCTGAAATTAATTTAGTTGGCTCATTGTGACCTTTGCTATCTGCTCAATTTTGCACTGTAAACATCTGCTCACATCCAGTCAAACTTAAATTTAGACCATACCCACTTCTGGCCCTACCTGTCACAGAGAGCATATCTGCCAGTTAAGACTGGGACAGCTATTCTGGGAAACTGGTGCCAAAAATGATTTGTTTAAATTGTTTGATGCCAGTGTGATGCACTGTGTCAGGCCTTTACTGTGTTTAGCTGAGGCCTGATTCTGGTGTGGAATGCATTTTGTGGCATCTTGGTGTATCTTGGCCCAGCCAGTAAAGCATCTCAGAAGGACACTGTAATCACACCAGATGAATGTGGAGAGAATTGGTGTTGAGCTCAAGGAAGCAGCATCCCTTGATTGGGAAAATAAACATTTGAAAAGCTGCTATTTTCCATTAGATACATTGTTTCAAGGGCAAGTATCCTATTGTACTCCAAAGCTTCTGTCACTGCTGCAGAAGCTTAGGCTCTTTGTCTCCTCTCTGTTTGTCCAACCCCACTCCTGTAATTATGTCAGAAGCAGCCACTCTTAATCCCTTCTGCACCAGTGGGTGGTCAGTTAGTGGTATTTTCAAAGGTATTTTCCTGACTCACACAATAGTGTGGGGTTGGTTTTTTTTTCTAGAAAACTTAAAATTATTGTATCTTGAAATTTTTTTGTAATACAGGAACATATGTGTATGGATATATTTTTAAGGGAAAAAACCTTCAGAGAGGTAATTTCATTATGGTATTTTGCCTAAAAGGAGTAGATTGTTGAAGAAGAACAGTAGTGAGACCAGTAGCTTGACACATTAAAAATAACTGGCTTATTGCTTATTTCTACCATGCAGGTAGAAATTGGCAAACTGCAGTGGAAGTTGTGCCCTGCTGTCCTTTGTGCTTCCACAGGGCACTGGTGGCAATTGCAGGACATCCTCACATCTTCTCTTAGTAATATGTAGAGTGTGGGGAGGACCTTCTGTGGTGATTGTTAGCTTGTGGTAGAGCTGTTAAGTAAATGGGGGAAAATAAAAAAGACAGCTGTGTGAAAGTTGGAGCTGTAGCATTTTTTCTCACTGCAACTAAATGTGTTCAGACCTTCATTCAGGTATTTGTGTATGCAGGAATGATACATAAATCAAAACAAAAACCTTCACATCCAAAAAAATAAGAACATGTAGGAGAAACAGGCTAATGGAGAAGAAGGAATGATATATATAGACAACAATGGGCTACCAATAACTCAGGGTCTCATCACAGCCATTGGCTTCACTCTGTCTGTAGTTAGGTTAGACAATTTGAATGTTTATGTGTCATGCCATATGTCAATGCATGAGCTGCTAAAGGCACTTGGGTGGCCCTGAGAAAAACAAGAGTTACACAACCTGGGTTAGATAACCTCTGTGATTGAGTTCCTGGTTGCACAGGACTGTGTTTGGCTCTGAGTGTGGTAAAACATGTGGAATATTCAGACCAGTGGCCAGAAAGCTGCAATGAGTTCCTTGGTGTTCTTTTTGACCAATTAAGTTGATACACTGAAGAAAATGGTTTAGTTTTTTGAAAGGGCATTTTGGCAAGATAAAATGTTGCCATAATAGGAGGAAAGGCAAAAAGGATTGGGATTGTTCAGCCAGGAGAAGTCCTTGACGTGGCCTAACTGTGACCTTCTATAACCTGAAGGGAGCCTACAGGGAAGATGGAGAGGGAGTCCCTTTTACAAGGGTCTGGAGTGACAGGACAAAGGGGAATGGCTTTAAACTGAAAGAGAGCAAGTTTAGGTTAGATATTAAGAATGATGGATGGATAAAAGATGAATAAAAAAAATGGATGTCCCATCCCTGGCATGGTGCAAGTCCAGGTTAAGTGGGGCTCTGAGCAACTTGGTCAAATCAATGACATCCCTGCCCAGGGATATTGGAACTGGATGATCTTTACAGCTGCTCCCAACTCAAACCATTCTATGATTGTATGATAATATTTCTGATTAGCTCTTATCCCAGCCTAAATCTTACGGAAGTGTAGTAGCCTTCCAGTGTGATTTCTTTGCTGTTTTATGTCAGAAGAGAAAAGACATCCTGCAGTTTGATATGTGCAGAAGACATATTATCTGCTCAATTTTTTAAACTTGAGGGCATCAGAAGTCATCACTAACTCTGCTTGGTTCTATGACCAAAAAATGCAGTAGTTCCTCTGTGCAGTGGTTGTTTTTAGAAGAGGGATTTTTGGCAGGCTAGAAGTGGGCACAACATACTGCTGGTCCTTGGGCTTCTGAGGGACTCCAAGAGCTGCACTGCTTGTTCATTCGAGCAGTTGCTGTGTTCAATAGCTGTGGAGGAGATGTGTTGTAATTTTATAATTTTTTTAAATCCCTCTCTCAGGCTGAAACACGATTGAATTTTTAAAAGATGTGTACAGTTTTTTAGGGTGATGGACATTTATGCCTTTGTACAGCAGCTGATATAAACAAAAGAGCAGATCCACACTGCTATTACCAGCTTCCCCTGTACTGCAGATGTCTGAGCTGCTGCTGGTGAGTGCTGGAGGAGGCTGCTCAGCTTCCCTTTGCAGGCTGCTCGATTCCCTGATTCTCCAGGAGATACCGTGGCTGTGGCTGCAGATTAGATTTTTCTCTCCCTCCCCCTGCGAGACCTCTGTGTGCTTTGACGTCATGTGTGCTCCTTTCAGTTGCCATAGCAGCCCCATTCCCCAAGCTCTCTGCCTGTCTCCTCTGGTAGGTTCCACAATGGTACAGCCAGCATCACGCTGCACAATGGTTTCCAGGCAGTGAAAGAGCGTGATTCAGCAAGCCACTCTTCCCCTCCCTCCCCTTTTATTTCATTATTATCAGACATTTTGCCTCCCCTTTTTCTGTTCTCTTCTACCCTCTCCCCCAGGCTTTTATTCAGTTCTTTAAAGGAAAACAGTGATTTACCTTGAAACCAACTGCTCATCATCTCATAATTTTTTTTTTTTCTTTCCTGTCCCCCCTCCCCCCCCCCCCCCCCATTATTTTAAATAGCCTGTTTTTTTTCTCTCGGCACTGTTTGGAATGTGATCTAAAAATACCACCTAAAGTCGCAATTTGGGGAAAAGGTTTCTGGACGAGGAGAATAGCTCGCAAGCAAGGAATGGTAGGTGGTTGATGCTAATATTCTTTGACTAACTGCTTTTGCAGGGTGGGGTGATGAATATTGATTGCTGCTTGAGGAAAAAAAAATATTAAAGGAAGGGAGAGGGAGAGAAAGAGAAAGGTTAATGAAGTAAACTGCTAAGCGAAGCAAGAAGGTTGCACCTGTCCATTTTGTGGCCAAGAAGCATAATTTTCCTGTGTCCGGGTGTGTATGAGCCTGAATGTTGGGGCGCTGCAGGTGACCGGTGGCCGTGAGAGCAGGGCAGGGGCACTCTGTGGATGGGAGTGTGGTGGTGCTTTACCAGCTGGCTCGTGTAAACACTGAGGTTTTACTCAGCCTCATCACCTCTAACGCTGCCTGAGGGCTTTTGGGGGGAAGGAGGTGTCTTGGCTTGCAGCTCAGGAGAAAAATGAGGGTGTTGTGAGGGTTATAGGGTCCATACACAGCGGTATAAAATTTGAATGTGGAAAAATAAAAAGAGGACAAAGAGCTGGAAGATTCAGAGGACAGAAGTCTTGGTATTTTGCAGAGTGATTGAAAGCCAAAAAAAAAGAGTGTGTATGTGGAAGTGTTTGACAGATCTTGTTGGATGTGGGGGAGGGGGTTGTTTTTAAGAAAGTAGCCTTTAATCATCACTCTTCCACATTACTTGGATTCAAGTGAACAACTCAGCCCACTGGATTTAACAGAACCACGAGAGCTTTCAGGAGAAGTGTTTACAGCAAGCTATGGGCCAGCTATTTTGCAAAAGAGAATTAACAATCTGTAGATGCTGCAGTGAAATCAATGTTGCTTTGCAGGGAGATCCTCTGGCAGAAAAAGCTACTGCTACAGGAAGAAATGCTGGTTTTGTTTTTTTACAGCAGAGCGACATTGTTAGAAATAATAGAAATTTGCCTTGGATAATTAAGTGTTACAACATTGTTTAATAAGCAGGCTGTGCTCGCAGTGAACCATGATGGGCATGTTTCACACCATTCGTGTGCTGGGGGATTGTCAGCTTGTTTACATGGGCTCCTTTTGCTGCATAGCTTCCTGATATCCTCAGTGCAACTTTCCCCTCCTCTGATATGTTCACTGTAAGTTTTGCCAGAGACTTCTACAGGGGCAAACCGATGCTATGTGAAAATACAAATTTTGTGGGAAAGTATGGCACAGAGTAGAAATGTATTGAGAGGAAAATGCAAATAATTATATTGTAACTAATCAGAGGAGTCTGAAATCAGCTTGGTGGAGGACACAGAGATTGTCCTGCAAGCCCAGCTTTTGCAAAAGAGAGGGGTTAAGACAGAACAGGCTGGTGTAGGTACGGCACAGTGTTGTCTTTGCCCATGTGTAACCTATCTTTGGTCCCATGCCTTGGGGAAAATGGGGTGCACCAAACCCCACTATTTTAACCTTCTTTCAGTACAGTGCTATGTAATCACTGGTTGGGAACACTGAAGCAATATTTTCTTCCGTGGTCCTCTCTCTGTCTGCTCTCTTCCTGCTAGGAATGGTGGCATAGGAATACCCTTTCAGTTGGCTCCGCTAATGACTTTGTCTTACAGGGATGCGGATGTGAGCGACAAAGGTGATTTGACCTCAGCCATTAAACAATATTCTTTTTCCCTGACTCTCAATAAACTGCACTCTTACGCATAGCTCTCTCCTGCTGTTTCAGAGTATGCATAATTTTTCAGGGTCCTGTTGTAATTATGGTTTTGTTGAGGAGTGTTAGGATTACAAGGATGTTCCTAAATAAGATAAAGACAGAAATCACTTACCATGAAAAATAAGTTAACTTCAGCTGCCTGTCTGCCCCCTTGGAAAATGTCCTTCTCATAGTTGAAAAGCTCCTTCAGTGCACACACAAGTTTCTATGAGCAGATGACAGGGATGAGTGTTTTCTTGTAGATTTGGGGTTTTTTTCCCTGCTGTCAGTGGCTGGCATGTTTGCAGCTGGTTTTTAGTGATTTAACAGTACTGGATCAATATACCTTCAAACAGTGTTACGGTACCAGATCTAGCTTGGGAAAGCAAAGAGAGAGTTATCAAAATTTCACTGCCATGATATTGGAGAAGGTCATAAAGTTCACTTATAGTTTACAGTTCATTGCAAAATTCATCTAATTTAAGGGAGGGCTAAAGCAGGCCCAAAGGAGGGTGGTTTTAGCATTGCTTTTGCCAGCGACATAATAATTTTCTTAAGACTTGGAAGAGAGAAAAGCTGCATTTAGGGAATGGCCTCCAGCTTTAAAATTGGTAATCTCTTAAACTGTTGTTCAGTAGATACTACCCAGTTCCTTGGATAATTCCAAATTACAGAAAATATCAGTGGCTTGTTGATAAATTTTCAAATCCAAGTAAATTTTTGGGTTTTTTGTCTCAAGCATTCTATACCCATAGCCCCTCCCATTCCACTGATTACATTTTTAGCTTACAATAATAGCACTACTAGAAATTATGTCCTGAAAGCCTAGTGATTGCAGAATCACCACAGTTGCTGCTCTGTTATGTCATCAGGAGTACAGGAGAGAGTCTTCATTGGACTACAATACTGAATATATATATATATATATATAAATTCTGGCCTTCAGTGCTCATATTCTGCTTTTGATTCTTGCACACTTACCATTCCTTTGCTATGATTCTTGCACCCTTACGGTTTTGAAAGCTACTTGCAAGGAAAATGATCCCTCATAAAAGGTCCACGAATGATTAAAGCCAAAATCAAAAGCAGTAGAGGGGATGGGATGGAATTTCCTGGTCCCCTCTCCACTGTTTATGAAAGTTACACAGCTGTTCTTGAGTTGCTCTACTGTGTTTTAGCGCAATAGCTGCAGATTTGTTAGCAAGCTTTAAAATTAGTCTTGGTTAGTTATTAGAAGAGAAAGGCAGGAAATGAAAGTCCCAAAACTTTCCAGTCTTACTGGTTTTTTATACAGTGAGATTTTTTGGCAGAAGTTTTGGTGTGTGAACTCACTAATTGTGGTGGTATGTTCTCAGTTTCATTTTTACAGGAAGGATGTGAATTCATGAGCTTTAGTGTACCCTGGGATCTTCCTGACTATGCCTGGAGCACAGGGCAGTGTCTTTTTACAGCAAGAAAAAGGAAAAGCAAGTGTTGTGTTTTTAGGCAGATTCTGGGGTTTTCTCCTGTCTAAGAAAAAGACAATGTGAGTGCAGCCCCTTACTCACATTACAGCAGTGATATGGGGAATTTGGGATGTGTTAGGACCTGATCTAACATGAATCTTTGGCTATGCTAGACTCTCTCAGGACTTTTGTGAGGTAATAATCAGTAAAAGTTGGAGTCCAGAAGAGCCTTCCAGTCAAGTCAATAGCTGCTTCACCAGGATTCCACACTAAGAGGTCAATAACCCAGCAAATTAGGAACTGTAATTTAGGGGTGGGATTTCCGGAGACTGAGTTGGGCCCTTTTTTTTCAGTAGTAGTTTTCTCATGAGGATTTTTCATTTTCTGTTCTTAGTACAATTTTTTAGTTCTCTTCTGAGATACTTGAAAGCACGTTAGGATACAGGGGTACAACAATGTTGCTCAAACCTTATGTTAACAGTAATCATTTAGTTCTGTTCAGTGGTTAGGTACCAGAACACCATGTTTGATTGTTCCTTCTCTTATTCACTGTCTTAATACCACAGCATTTGCTTTTTCCTAGAGTTCTTGAGGTTGTCTGTAAGTTTCTTGGCTGCATGTGCTTTTGCCAGTTGGACCTTTTTGTCACATGCTTTGTTATTTGTTTTTAAGAGGGTGCTAATTTGATAAACACATTAATTTATTAATTCAGTACTAATTCATGAGTCCTTTCCTGATGCCTATATGTATCCATATCACACACTTTTTAAAGCTGCTAATAATGTCACAAGTCAAATTTAATTTCCATCCCCAGGTGTTGGTGGCAGGTGACTGTGTCCATATCTCAACTTGTTAGAGGTAAAGTCTCTGCTCTTCGTTATTCCAAAGAAAAAATTTGATGATCTGGCCTGAGAAAGATAGATAGTATAGAAACAAAAAAAAAAAAAGAAATTATTTTAGACCAGTTTTATGATTTTTTTTAGTGCCATCTGTTTCAATATGAACAGTCTTGAACATGTGCTCTTGAGCACTAAGGTCTTAATTTTTTTTCTCTTTTTTTTTTTTTTGCTGGTGGGGGAGTAACTGTGACACACTTCTCCCATTTAAACAGCACTTCATTCTGCATTATTTTCTGTCACCTGCCTTTCTTCTTTGTGTAGAAGAAAGTATTTTAGATACTGCCTGAATGTGATGCATGATGGTATTATCAGAGGAAAATCTAAAGTCATTGTTATATAATGTGCAGATATTGATATTCCAGGTTAGTTTAGTTTTCTGAAATTTTCTATGTCAATCAGACTTGAAAAATAAAACCCAAACATTTCTTTCTCTTCTTTTGTGCTTAGGGCTAGTATTAGAAACCTGTACCAACAGCAGGCCAGACTCAAATATCAGCTATGGCAACCCATGCATGAAGTTGATGCCTTTGAACTATTTCCTATAGATGAGACAGCACATGCTGTGGTGAGTCAACAATGTATTATTTTATTAAATCGTACTTCTTGGCAAAAAAAACCGAACAGAATATTCTTAGTGCCGAAGTGCATGCTGATGTTTTTTCCTTTTTTTTTTTTTTTTTTTTTTGAGGGGGGAGGCAGGGAAAATTAAAGTTACAACTTGTAGCAATTTTTAGTACATATTAACATAATGCTGTCATCTTATAATGATTTTCCAAGTGTATAATTTCTGCATTACACAGTTATCAGATGAAGCACATTCAAATGTGGTTTCAGAGGAAGTGTCAATATAGCAAAATAATTTTAAAAAAGACCCTACTCATGCAGTGTTCTGAGCACTATAAAAAATGGGAAAATCTGTTTCACTACTGCAAAATCCACAATTTTGGACTTATTTTTGTAACTAATGTTTTCCATCTCTTAGATTTGGTATGGAGGGAGAGGAAAGGTTGTTTTGTTTCTCTTTGAGATGACTGAAGAAGATTTGGGGGAGTCATCACAGACTGTTTTGTCTGTGATGTGATATCTCTTTTTCCTTGGACAAGAAAATAGTGAGAACAATGGTGAAAATCAAAGTTTTTTTAAAAATACTTTGTAGCTTTAACTGTCTTAAGTCTGTTAATAACTTCAATGCATATATCATACATATTAAGTAATTTTGGTTCTGATAATTTCTTTAGGATGGTTTTGGTGTACCTTTGGGGGATGAGGAATTGTTTTCAGATTCCTCATGTAATCTCAATAGAATTGTTGTCTAAAATTGCAACTGCTACTCCAATAAGGTGTAGCTCCAAGTCACTGTAATGTTTTTGTAGGGAGATGGAAGTCTTGTAGATGTGGCATGTGGGTAACCTTAAGGGTGATGAAATGAACACTCTGGTAACACTTTCATCCTTGATGAACCTGATGAAATAAATTTAAACAGGTGTCAGTTAAATCTATTTGACTACTTTGAAGTGAGATGAGTCGCAGAAAGCAGTGCCTACAGGAGTGCCACCAAGAGAATTTGTGCTCTGTTGGAATCTAGAGGGTTTCTCAAGGGGAGAAGACATACACTGGACAGTGATTTGTGGCATGAGGAGTCACAGTCTGGATGCTCATATCCTTGGCTTGTGGACATCCAGTGGAAGCAATACATTTATGTAGAACTTAATAACCTCTCTTTTTTACTGTTATGATATTTTTAACTTCTTATGGCTTTTAGGGCCCATTGTCCTAAGGTAATTCTGGTTAACAAGACAGCCTTCATCTTGCCTTAATGTCTGGGCTTTAGAAACTGTGACACTGGGAATTTTGCATATGAATGGGTCTGGGTGACTTTTGCATTTACAGTGAAGCCTGAAACCATATTTTTAAAAAAATAGTATTATTTTGCTTTAATTCAATGTTTAGGAGTATACAGATAACCTGCTAGTTGTAGATAATGAGAATTTTAGATAAGCTGGCAACAGCAATGTATATATGATTTCTGGAAGTTGATGGAGTGGTACAAATCAAGGATTTTGTTAACATGTCCATGATGAACAGTTGCTAAACAGACGTTGCATGAAATTTTTATGGTGTTTTGTACATGTTAATGCAATTAGCTGATAGTCATGGCAGCTCAGTTCCTCTCACCATTAACATTATTAAAATTGCTCTGTAAGTAGAAAAGTTGTTCTTAAGAAGCTGGCTGATGATAATCCCCACTCCTGGTGATTTTGCATTTAGTTGTACATGTAGTGCTAATTTTGGAACACAGTGGTACTGCTGTCTACAAGCAATGTGACTTGATCATTTGTCCCCCGGGTCACCAAGATGTCTTTATCTTAATGTTGCAGCTATTGATATTTGCTGTGTGGTATTTCAGGCATTTACCAATGGCTCTGTTCAGGTTACTTTCCGAGTTCAGTGCACACCTAAGTCACCTCCCCCAGCTCTGTTCTTCCCAATTTATATTTTAGGGTGGGTAATAAGTGCAAATACCAGTTTTTCAGAAACAACATATGAAATGTGTCAAAATAATTCAGAGATGTTGTAGGGAGAGAGTTGCTTGAGAAGTTTCCTCCCAGATGACAGCATTAATAGGGAAAATTAGTTAAATAAGCTTAACAGAAATTAAGGACTGTAAAGTCTTGTTGTGAGGCTACAAAAACCATCTGTAGGTGTTTTCAGACATTTAATACAACCCTTTAGCATGGATTTAAAGCTCAGTCTGTATAGGAATTAGGCATGCACTTCTGTAAATGTGTGTGTAGCAAATGCAATTTGAAATCTGGGCTTATGCTCTCTGTGCAGGCTCTCTGCAGTTAATATTGCTCATTAAGGCAGTTTGATCATATAGCTTTATTTTACATTCAGCAATATCTTTTGATGAAAACACAAGCTTTGCAACTGTAGAAATTGTATGTGAAATCAGAAACCACATACAAAAATTATCATATAATTAGTGAAGTAGAATTAACTGCCAAAACCTTTTTAAAAAGGTCAGGAAAAAGAAGCATTTGGAGAACAGAAGTACCTATCAATATTCATCAAGAAAAGATCAAGCAAGGAAAAATCTTGGGATGTTATGTGTACCAAAAAACTGATGTTAGTGCTGTGGGCAATGAATGTTTTTTACAGTTGAGTTAGTAATTTTATAAGAAACCACATGAGAGAAAGGCTTTCCTACATCTATGCAGAGAAGCAAAGTATCTGGGATAAAGGATTTTTTGGAGGTTTTTAAGTGCTTGAAAAAAAGATTTGAGGATCTATTTTGTAGTGTCTTGGCTTGGTATCTTTCTACTACAGTCACATGGTTTTTTGGAATACTGTGTTGGTTCCTCTTATGTTCATCACAGGTGTTAAGTGCATGAGAAAAAATCAGAGGAACTCAGAGCACAGTTTTCTCTAAGGAACTTTTGTTCTGCTCCTCTGCCTAACAGAAAAATCATGTTTATATTAAATTTTCTGCATATGATAAATGTAAAAACTTGCTACCTGTTACTGATGATGGCCATGTAATGTGCAACACATTTCCCCGTGGAGGACTGTTGCCTGAACCTATTTCCAAAAGCTATTTTTCATGTGATCAGCTACATACAAACAAAGGTTTTCCAGAAGTGACCTCTAATATTCAGCACTTCAGCTGCAAACCCTCTCTACTTTTCAAGGGGGCTGGATTTTTTCCAGAAAGTGCTGGGATCTTCACTTTGGATTTTGGACTTTGCAATAGAACCACTTGATCACCTTTTATTTCAATAAACCTCATTGGAGTTGCCCATAAAGGGAATTTTCATGCTTTTGCATTTTTGTAGTTGTTGTTTATTATCTTTTTTTCCTTTATATGGATTTTCTTTTTTGCGTCCTCAGGATATTGTTTGCAGAGTGTTTTCACTGCCCTTTAGACTCAGATAATGTTATGTGGGTTTACACTATTAGTTCTTATTCTGATTCATATCCCTTCTCCTTCTTTCCTTGGTTTGTCTTCAGTTATTCCTACAGCCCCTAAGATTAGTATTTTAATTAAATCATATTGAAATATAGCATTGTCAACTCATGCAGTATTTGTTTTTTTTAAATGCCCTGGGCTATCACATATATGTGAGAAACTAGAGCTTTCCTTTAACAAAATGTAGGCTTTTTGTTTCTATTACTGAAAAAAATTGAAGCTTGAATACGCGAAAGAGTGAGGCTTTAAAAATGCTCGGTCCTCCCACCAAGATAATTCCCTAGTGGCATATTGGAATTTTGAGATCATATAACATGCGTCTTAGACATTTGGGACAGATAGTCTTAAAAAAAAATTGTTAAAACTTTTTTGGAAAGTGAATATTTGTTATCTTTCTAATGCTTGTAATGACACAGACATACCATATGTTATATCTATGTCTGTATTCCCCCAGTAGTTGAACTGGCCCAGTCAAGCTATTTGCACATTTAAAAAGTGAAAGTGAAATTTATCTAAAAAAGTCAAGTGCCTGGTGTCTGTCTTTGAGGGATCTCTAGTTGTTTAATTTTGCTCTGGAATACTGCTGGACCAAATGCTTTTATTCTGCCACATGTCAGTCTGAGCTTACTGAAGAGAGTGAGCTTAATTTATGGGCTTAATGCTTTCCTGTGTCAGGCGTGACCTGTGAATATATCCCATGAAATATTTGTGTCTGCTGTATTTTTTGAGCTCCCGGTGGAAAAAATAGCCCTGAACCACCTGCCAGGCTAGTTCAGCATTTGGCAAGCTCCTCTTCCAGCCTTATGGAGAATATCCTGAACTATTGCTGTGGAATATGGGAGTAGAATGTCAGACAAATATCTTCTGAACCTTTGAGTAGTTTTCCAGTGTGATTCTTATGAGCTGTACTAAAATAATTTTAATATCCTACAGAAGAATAAATGGAAATGCCAAATCAATAGCAAAAAACACCCGGAATGGTGCCAGCAGAAAGGTGGAAAAGAGACCAAGACAGCAGTAAATTCAGCTCTGCTAATGGGCAAGGCATGCAAACCCGTATTATATAAAGTGGTGGGAAGTATTTTGTGACCGCAGGGCGAAAGGTTTCGCCTGCTTCTTCTTCAAGGCTTGTTGTCAGTGTGGTGTGTCTCTGTGTCTATTACTTTGTGGCCTGTCCTTATCAAAAGTGCCTTTTCTTCTCACAGTTTGTCAACAGGAGCAGAGACCTGAATATACCATGTAGAACTGCCAGCTTTTCCTCTGCTGTTGTGCGTGTTGGAAAGACTGGGGAGCACAGGCTGTGGGTGAAGGGTGTCGCTCTTGTGGGGAGGAGCACCCACAGTGCTGGCAGCATCAGCTACTGCATTCCCTGTTCCCTGCACAAGGATCAAGGCTGCAGTGTGCCAACTGCTGTACAGGCATTAGGTGAGCAGCTTTAAGCTCTTGGGCAGTCATTTCCCAGCTCCGAAAGGGAGTGAAAGAAGCCAAAGGTGTGTAGGGGGTTATCGGTGCAATGCAGCAAGTATGACATCAATGTCATGTTCCTTCTCTCTTAACTGTCATTGTGGGGATGGAGAGTGGCAGACAGGTGAAAG